AGATACGAAACGGTGTCTTACTGATCCACTAATGTCATAGGTTTGTCAATCAAAGCCGGCATCTTACCAAGTAGAGAGTATAAAACTAGACGTCATTACTAATTTACAGCCGATGGAACCAGTGATTCGCCGGTACAGAAAGGTGGCGAGGGTGATTGTTGCCAACTCAGGAGAGAACAATTCGTCAGTACAATTTCACTTCATTTGTTTGTGATTTCTGCGTATTGTGTCTTGTCCGCGGATTTGTTTTGTGTAATTGTGTGTGGTGCATTCCCCCTGCACTAACTATAAAGGGCTCGCGCATTTCGTCTTTCTTTGTCTCTAATGATAATACCCCAATGAAATCAGGTTTACCGTCCTATTTTGCCTCACCAGCCAGGTTGAAGAAAACGGACATAGTGAGCTATGAGGATGATTTTACGACTTCCAGTTGTAACGAGTTTTTCTATGTGCACGCCAACGAGTACATGGATGCGACCACGGTTAGTGTTCCCATCTGCACGACTAAACGCTTGTTTATCCAAATGAAAACGCAAACCATTTTCTTTTACAATGTAACAATTTTAATAGTGAAAGAGCAAAATAGAGAAAGGACGATTGTAAGTTTTGTCCAATCCAATTGTATCACAAATGATTTGTGTTGATGTAATAAAATCTATTTAAACAAGGAAGTTGTTTATTTACGCCAGAACGCACAACTGATTCCTGGTGCATAAAATGAAGATGTATTGTCCCTATTGCGTCCACCTTCTCGTACGTGCAGATACGTTCGGGTACATTTCGATACGATCAACACGATTGCTAGAATTCACCTCAATATATGATAAGACTGATAGGATCAACACGATTACTCCACGGTTAAAACCACGATTCAATCACTGCTCGAATCGTGATAATGAGAACGTAGCATAACCGTGGGAGTTTATGTCATCCCACGAGCAGGTACATCAACAGTACACGCATAAGATTAAAGCTAAACGAATCGTACATTTAACCAATCCGAACTGAAATAATTTACATCCTTGGTGCAAAGCGGCAGGGGAATTTTCACGTCATGTACGTAATAATTTGCTGAACCTCCGCCATTACAGTAACCCCCGAGAGAGAAGGTCGTCAGTACAATCGTATATAACCACAAATATTACCAGGAATAAAGAAATCGTTCGTTCTGATTAAAAGGGAAATATCGGCCTACTAAGAGTTAATTACAGATTTGCTGTTCAGGGAAGGAAACATTTCTATCTCATTCAAACGAATATTATCTCATGAAAAGAAATTTATAGTCGATTAGGTTCTAACCACGTTATAAGTAGTCAGTCGCTTCGTTTAAAGTGGCTTCGTTATGGAAACAGAGTTATTTGAGTAGAAAAATCAATTGTCGATTGTATAATGTTATTGTGTTTTGATTGGACGGAGCCAGTGTCACAGTAAGCCAGCATGGAAATAAAATTCGGTATACTATTTCAAGAAGTTCTTGCTCACTTTTAAAGACCTCTTGTCGAAAGAGAAAGAGAGAGAGAGAGAGGGGGTCCAGAGGACACTGAGAAAACCCACGAGGTTGGGCAGGCGACCCTACTCCTTGTCACGTACAAGCGAGGAATTGAAGCCACATCACTTTACTCAATGACAGACCAGACCATCTAACCCTTCATTATTGAAAAAAAAAATACACCATATGGTCCCCCATTATGACCTAGCCAGTGGTTGGTATCCCTTGCCTCAATCCCAAAATAGACGTCAACCCATAATCAATGCGAATATATTCTTATTCAATCGGTGTATGTCGTATAGCCCAAAATCCCATATTTCACTCCGTTGTCATTTTCTGTGGGACTGTGAGAATGTATTTTAATTCAATTGCGTATTCACATATAGGTCTATATATGTAAAGCAGGGATAATTGCGAATGCTCAGAGAGACAGAAGTCTGGGATGTTCTGATTACAGACAAAATTTATCATCTCCTCGTCAGGATAATCATTAAGAAATAATTGAATAAAATGGAACGCATTTATCATGCTACCATGCGTTCCAATAAAATAAAACCAAGTACGAACAATTCAAACCATTAGACTAAATTCGAAGTCCTAAAAATAGTGTAATCAGCAAATGGACTGTTCACCATGTACAAAATACATGAACAGGTGTCTGGAAGTAAGGTTACCCTGCCTGGTGCCACACCCGCCATAGCTGCATCCAAACCATTAGACGAAATCTCGGTAAAATAGTATAATTGGCCAATGGACTATCCGTATGCAAAATGTACACGATGAACAGTGTTAACAGATGTAGTGGACAAAATCAGGAAGATAGTACGTATACGCATCAATTAAATATATCTAGAATAATAGCCGAAAGAGACATGTTATATTTACCAATCAAGTCAACATTTTAAAGGTTTTTGTAAGTTTAATAGGCAAGTATTCCTGCAGCTGAAGCTTAGATGACAAATGCCTTGATCTACCTTTATAACTGCTTTACAAATTGCATTAATTTAATTTAATAAACAAATTGTTTGTATATTAGTTATTGTTGACTGACATTCTAAGATATATATATATGAACAATATTTATTGCCCTGCATTAAACTGTATCCGTCATCTAATTATATGTATACTATGGAATGTAATACCTATATGCATTTGGAATGAACAATTACATATTATGGATGGATGGCCGAATAGTCAGCGCGTTGTATCATAAGGTCTATCATTGAGTAAACTGGCGTGGTTTGGATTCCTCCGGTTGTACGTGACAATAAGTAGGTTCGCCTGTCCAAACTCGTGGATCCTTCGGTTTTCACTAACTTCTAAAGACCCCTACGCGCAAGCGAATTATTGATATAGAATTGAACCAAATGTTAGTCCCGAAATGACCTCTGTCTCTCTCTCTCCCTCTCTCTCTTTCTATCTCTCTCAATTATATATTATGGATGCTTGATGTCGGTTATTTTTCTCCCAAGATCCACATATTTGGGTGTTTGGCGTTAGATATGAATATTCAAATTTGTATGTATTTAAGTTTTTGATGTTCGATAATTATACACTAAGATCCGCGCATTTCGTTTTGATATTTATATTCCAAGATCCAAATATTAAAGTACTTCATGTTCGATATTTATAAACTCTTTTGTTATGTTCTAGCGAAGTGGGCGTTTCTCGTTTTTATAGCCTTGATTATAAGTACTACCCTTCATAGTTCAACGGCATAATTTGATATTTTTTGTACAAGTAGAGATGTTGTATGCCTTTAATTTCCTTCCTTCTATCATGCATGGTTATATTTGACATTTCAAATATTAATGCATTTATTTTTGACAAGAAGTCTTAAAATACTAGAACGGTTCACTAGCCTTTTCACAAAAACTCATCCACGAACAGATTACAACATCAAATATGGTTTAACATGATTTTGGACAGATAATGGGTCTAATCCCGTTATGATATCAGATGCTGATGAAATGATAGAAGAATTGCATGCGGAGCCAGTATTCAATACATGCTTTTAACTTCTACCATTATCAGTTTCTGAAATAACATTATCTCTGGCAATGGTTATGGGATCATGAATGCTATTTTCGTAAAATTTAGATCAATATGATCGCTTTGAAATGTAGATAAAGTTGTTTTACAAAATCACAATGTTTTCAGATGTAACTAACGATGTTTTGAAAATTATTTTGGAAATGTGTTTTGAAATGAAAAAAGATAAATAAACAAATGAAGAGGAAATATTATGTTTGTTCTGAAATGCTAATAAATATGTTCTGAAATGCTAATAAGTATGTTCTGAAATTTTGTGTTCTGAAATTTTGTGTTCTGAAATGCTAATAAAAGTGTTCTAAAAAGCTAATAAATGTGTTCTGAAATGCATAAACGGGTTGTTTAGAAAATTAAAAGATAAACAGTTGTTAAAATGTAAACAAAGTGGATGTTCGTTTTACGGCCCAATACAAACGTACAACAAACACGGCCCCTGGTGTTTAAAGTATTGTAAGCTTACCTCGACCCAAGTGTATCAGTCATGATGAATGTTTAGATTTTTAGATACTGTAAGTCTTTTATTATTATATTATTTTATATGTTTGGTTATTTTTGAATTTGATTTCATAAGATGAGAACACACAAACATTTGTTGTCAATGACACTGAATAGCAGTATATTTAAACGATCCATTTCAAATAGCCTTGAAAAACATTTTGAATAATTAGTTGTGTCATCGTCATCGTTTGTATGTTCAGGGTGTGTGTGTGTGGGTGTGTGGGGTGTGTGTGTAGGGGGGGGGGGGGTATAAGGTTTCCGAGTTATCAGTACCACATTGAAAATGAAATGTGAATAATTAGATGTGCCATCTTCATTGTTTCTATGTTCATGGGAGGTGTGTGTGTGTGTGTGGGGGGGGGGGGGGTCTAAGACTGTCCAAATGCTGAAATTAGGGGTAGGGGCGTGACATATTTCTGGTGGCGTAAGAGTTCCACTTCCGGGTTCTGTTATATCTTGGTAAATAACTGTTGCCCATATAAATAATTTTTTTTGGGATGTAAGCATCCTCGGTATCCCCAGTGGTCTAATTCCGTTCTACTCCACTATACCCTGTGTTAATCCGTGGGGGGTCACGTATTCAAGTTATCTGCCCTTGATGATTGCGCTATTTTTATCGACTAATCCCATAAATCGTTAAATGAAAAGGAATTCGGCGAAGGGGAGTAACTCTCATATTGTTCTGATCGTAAACAGTCAGGCCAAAGACTCTTAGTAAGACTGGTTTGTAAACTGTTTTTTGAATTGGTTCGCAGATGTAAGCTACGACCAAGGCCAGAACAGATAATTTGACTACGGGAATACCCTATGGATTAACCCAGGGTATAGTGGGGTGGAATGGATTGAGACCACTGGGGATACCGAGGATGGGATATAAGGGAAATGACATAGGCTTGCTGGCGATGCACTACCGTTTCGGAATAATATTTCTCCTTTAAAGAAAGCGCCATATTTGACTCACCTGTTATGTGATGGAAGCTTTAAATCAAACTGAAGGAAAGTTAACTCTACGATTTCACCCACATCGCCTATAAATGTGTATAATATACAAGTCGTTTTGCGTGGATAAACTTGAGGAAAATTAGGGGAGGTAAATCGGCCGCTACTTCCGCCATAGCTCTGATATATGACACACTCACATGCTGAAATAAAAACAAAATGGACGTGTTAGGTTATGTCAAGTTCAAATGTTTACAGGGCGTGGTTAATATCGTGATGGGCCTCGTACTTTACACGTGCAACCGCATCATACTAACAAGGAAATTACAAGCAGAATGGGATGTAATGTCCCGATACTATACTTAGGCCATGTTGAGACTAAAATATGGTAATGCTTATTTTTATGGTGTCCGACTACTTTTAATCACATTTCAAATGCCACATTGAATTGTAGTGCAAAAATGGCAACGGCCACTATATACATTAACCCAAACTTGGGGATTTAGCTGATTCCACGGACAACCTGGGGATTTCCTGTGCGCTTGTCCAATGGTTCTACTCTTAACATAAATTATTTAAAACACTACAAAAAAGATATCTTAAATCGGATTTACAATAAACAATTTACAATTACAAAATAATTAAAGAGTGTGTAATTTAACAATAATTAGCTACATTTTAACAATAATTAACTATATTTTTAATTTAATTTTATTTTAATAACAATTAACAAAATTGTTAAAATATAAAATACGACCATTTGCCGTGAACCATTACGTTATAATCAACAACTTCGATTTTGATTTGGGTGAACCATTGGACAGGCACGTTCGAAGCATAATCGAAAACTGGATACTGATTTGTATCAACTACTCTACAGAATCGATCAGTTCTATCAGTTCAGTGAGTTTTGATATCGATTAGGGCCACCATTTTACCTCTTGATAAGTGATATGTACTTTCATAATTTAAACATGAGTCTCTGGCTGAAAGAAACAATTTAATAAACAACATCAGACGTATTTCAAATAGAGCAAGATCTAATTAAACGGTTATTTAATGTGGAGTTATTTACAATAGACACTTAAAATAAAGAGCATCATTTAATTACAGATTATTTAATGTAGAGTCAGTTATAGTAGTTCTTAAATATAGAGCATCATCTAATTAAAGGTTATTTAATTTATAATAGTTGTTAAATATAAAGCATCGTCTGATTTAAGGTTATTTAATTTATAATAATATAGTTCTTAAATATAGAGCATTATCTAATTAACGGTTATTTCATATAGTTTTTTTCTTAAATATAGAGCATCACAATTATATTTAAAAGTTATTTAGCATAAAGATATATAACGTGTATATGTAACAGTTATTCAATATAAAGGGTTATTAAATTTAATATAGAGCATCACTTTTATATGTAAAAATTTACATTAGTTCATATACAACATGAAATTTATATCTAAGAGGTATTTAACCAAGAGCGTTGTGTTTATGCGCACATTTTTTAACATAGACAACTACTTTTATATGTAACAGTTCTATTAAGACACGACGCGTTCCGTGTATAAGTATCAGTTCATAATACAAAGCGATATGTTTATATGTAACCATTAATTATCACAGAGCGTTAGAGTTCTTTGAAATGTAGTGGAGCGTTTATATGTAATAGTTGTTTAATATATAACATTACGTTTATATGTAACACTTGTTTAATATAGAACGTTACGTTTATACGTAACATTTGTGTACTATAGAACATTCCGTTTATATGTAACAGTTGTTTATAGCTAGAACATTACGTGTATATGTTATAGTTATTTAATATATAACATTACGTTTATATGTAACACTTATTTAATATAGAACATTACGTTTATTTATATGTAATAGTTATTTAATATAGAACATTCCGTTTATATGTAACACTTGTTTATAGCTACAGCAGACAGTACAGAATTTCTAACAGTAATCTAAGGTAGCGCAAAACTTTTATAATACATAACAATTATTTAATATAGAGTATAATGTTTAGATGCAACATTTATAATAATATGACACAGCTGTATAACTTTTAGATGCAACTGTTATTGAATGAATGTTATTATTTATTTAGTATAGAGTTTATTACGACTATTTGTCACGAGTATATGTCACGATAATATGTCATAATAATATGTCACGATAATATGTCATAATAATAGAGATGTAGGAGATATAAAATGCAGTTTAGGATTACACGCTGCTATGTTTATAATGGATCGAATCGTTATTAAAGGCTCAATACCACTCTTGTTGTAACTGAATAATATGTCCCAATTTATTCGGGTCAACAAATTGTACTATTTTACAATATTCCAATTAATTGATGATACAAATTTCATCTTAACACACCTAATTTAAAAAATTTGGAAAAATTCAACTAAATGATTTGAAAAGCCTAACGTAAACCTTTTCAAATGTGACTTGGATTTAAAAATATTTTCGAACCCTCTGGACAAGTAAAATAGGATGTAATGGATAATTTACACTACAGATAGGACACTTAAGCATCTAATACTTAGAATAAGGCTATTATTTATTTTCTGGAGCTGCCATGTCAGCAAGAGTGTTATTGTCCCTTTAATATAATCATTGTGCTATATAATATTATTTTATACTGGATATTAAAATTACACAATTAATCAATATAGAACCCGTCTAATGTTTAGCCAAGGTTTTCAAACTTACGTTATTATTTTTCATTTGAAAAATTGTGTAAATAATTGTTTTAGTTAAAATTATTTTTAACAATTTCACGTAAACCATTTTTTGCAGGTATACAAGAATCCATTTTGGAGAATAAATATACTGTTCCTACTAATGCTAGGTTGCCACGATCACTATTCGCGCTATGATTAAAATCGTGGTTTTAACTGTGGAATAATTGCGATGATCCTATCAGGCCTTACCATATATTTTGATCAGTCGTAGAAATGGTGTTGATCGTATCGAAACGTATCTGAACGTATCTGCACGTACCAGATCGTGAACTCAATAAGGACAATGGTATCGTAACGCATCGTACGACAGTGAAGACCTAGATAATTTATCAATCGAGCAATGTGTATTTTCAGTTCGATCCTGTAACGATTTTATTTTTGGGTTGCCGAAAACTATTGTTATAGGTACGTCCTAGTAATCAAATAGAGTCTGATTACATTGCACCTTACAATCGAACCTAAGTACTACTGAACCTTATCACAACTAATCTCCTGTTCTACCGACCCTTACTATAGAGCACAGCCAAACCTACTACTGCACCTTACTATAGAGCTAAGGCAACTCCCTTTACTACTGGACCTTACTATAGAACACAAGCAACTCCCTTTACTACTGGACCTTACTATAGAACACAACCAATTACCCCCTTTACTACTGGACCTTACTATAGAACACAACCAACCCCTTTACTACTGGACCTTACTATAGAACACAACCAACCCCACTACACCTTACTATAGAACACAACCAACTCCCTTTACTACTACACCTTACTACAGAACACAACCAAACATATATAATGCATCCCAGTATAAAACAACCAAACAATTGTACTGCAGCACCTTAGACAAACAATCAAATAGCCAACATTCAATAGCAATTTTTAAACCCACGAGGCTAGGCAGGCGGTCCCATTACTTGTACAAGCGTGGGATCGAAACCACGTCATTTGTCTCAATGACAGATCGTATGATCTAAAACACACTCAAACCCCCAACCCACACCAGACTTATATGTTATTTGGAATAATCTTCTCCTTGTACAAAAACACACTCTTAAATCAGTTCGTCTGGGTTCAGAATCTTTAAAGGTCATGACTTACAACCAGTATTTTTTTATTGACAATAATGGACAGCGTCTTCTACGGTGGATATAACAGAGTCTATAATTAAATAGTCATTCTGTGAGCTTACTCTGCTTAAAAGAAGTCAAGATGTAGATAAACTTGGTAATCTGTGGACTGATGGATGATTAATTCTAAGTTGGTAATGATCAACTCAGTGCGTAGAGTTAACCGATTGATCTGCACTTTATCTCACATCTATATGATTTCCCCAAACACAGAATCAGGTCACCGTGGTTTGTTGGGTAGAGCGCTAGCTCGTTGAACACGGCCCGAGTTCACAAAGCATTCTCAGACTCAAGTTAAGAATTTACTCAAATTTCAATCACTGTTTATGAAAAATATCTCTGATCCAAAAACATAGTTTCTTATGGATGTATTTGATACATAAAATCAACAAAAGTTTCATAAAGGGCTATATTTTAGTTAAAATAAGGTGAACAATTTTGAGTAAATTCTTAACTTAAATCTGAGAATGCTTTGTGAACTCGGGGCCAGGGCATTCAGCGTTCGAACCCAGATGTGTCCACGTTGAGGGCTCATCGAGGAAAACCAATCGTAAGGGACAAAGGAAAGAGGGGGGGGGGGGGGTCCAGTGTACACGTTGGTATGGATGTAAAATAAATTTAAGGGCGTGGAGAGAGAGAAATGGGGTTTAACGTCCACTCGACACAAACTAGGTCATTTCGGGACTAACATATGGTTTTTAATTTTATTTCAATAATTCGCTTGCGCGTAGAGGTCTTTAGCAGTGGGAGGAAACCGGAGGACCCGGAGAAAACCTACGAGTTTGGACAGGCGACCCTACTCCTTGTCACGTACAACAGGGGATTCGAAACCACGCCAGTCGACTCAATGACAGACTTTATGATACAGCGCGCGCACGCTAACCATTCAGCCATCCAACCCCCCTGAGGGCGTGGAGTTCGACGAAGAGCTGACTGAAATGCCGCTCAATTGCCTTCGTCGCGCACACATCATAGTGTATATCGCTATTCAGTATCTCACTTCATGTAGCAATGTAGGGTTTTATACACTATTTTAGTTTCTAATGACTGTATTCCTTATATAGGACATATTGCAAATCGCGTATTTCCCTGGAAAACCACCAGGAGCGGCCAATACAGTCACCTCACTATACTACTTTTATTTACATGTATTTGGGCATGGCTAACAGTTCTGTTTGACCGCAGAAATGTTTAACCACCAGGCACGAGTCAATGAATCGCGATACTCGCTGAGTTGTCTCCCAAGGCTATTTATTTATGGATATGTTGAATTAATCCCATAATACCCTTAACGTATTCCGCTGCACGCTTAACCCGGACGTCATTGTCTAACCCTATCTTTAATAATTATAAATCAACCTTACAAACTTTCTTCAGAATTTCCGGTCCAGTCGACAGATTGCGCACGGACCGGAAGTTAATCATATGAAATGTGAGATGTATATGAGGATATAAGGGTGACATTTGATTTGGTTTTCTTGTTTAAATTTATATATATTCATGATTTAAATAAAAAACGTGATTTAAGTGCTTTTTGAAGCAGGTGGGTGGAAATTAAAGCGGTTTATCTTTATTTGGTGGCGTGATTTCCCCTTGTTAGTGGTGCAGGATGGAGGGCCTGACAAGGACAGCTGACTAGTCGTTCGGCTAAGACGACAAAAGGAGGTCCCGTGAATACATTGGTGGCGCACGTAAAAGATCCCTTGACAGTTGGCATTCGATATAAGAGTAGGACGTAGTGTCGATGCCCAGGCATTCCCTTCATAGCGCATGGCGTTTTCCCGTTTTCATTAGCTCCGTCAGAGCAGAACAGTAGGACGTTAAACACTATTTCATTTCATTTTTTTTCATTTTTATTTGGTAGATTTTGAATACCTTGAAATTTATAAGTCATATCTCTAAAATAATTTTCAGTCTAAATATGGTTTAATTTTGCTTAGTATTTACAAAGGTGATGAATTGCAATTTAGAATCGCTTGCCATCCCGTGCAGATCATATAAACAAACCAGCGACATCTTTTATGTAGACGAAATTAGTAATAAATATTTGATAATTTTTTTCGAAAGATTTAACTTTGGACATATACTT